GCCTCGTGCTTCCATCAGTTTCAAACTCAGAGGAATGTATTTTCTGGGAACATATAGTCACTTACTTGGTGGCAGAGGCCGAGACCATTCCAAAGCCCAATCCAMAGGCAWTAGAAGCAGATCTGTCTCCTGAATCAACTRGRTAAAAGATTTTTCTGGGGCAATGTTATGCTTGTGCTTTAGAGAACYAACTCCAAAGTGACTGAAATATGAACCCATAAGTCGAGTAAAACCAAAAAGAAGTAGATTACTGACACGCTGAAGAAACGACATCTGTGTAGATGAGGGTATGAAGTCACCAGGAATGTACGACACTGGCCAAGGAACACCGTAATGAAAATTAAAAACATCATAGTTTAATCCCCAGGCAGAGAAATCCACTATGAATGGTATCCCTACTTTCCGCTGGACTAGTTGTCCACACCCATGAAAAGAATTGTCCGCAAACACCAGGTCATATCCTCTGAGCTTTGAAAGCAAGCCTTCAAGAAAAAAAGGCAAATTAGTACTATTCTCGCGGAATAAATAATTAGCACTGGGCAGTGTAAATTAATTTCAAATACCTCTTGTTTGACTTATTATTAAGTCGGAAGCCAATTTTTGTCCAACCCTCCCCTCCCCTACCCTCCCCTCCCCTCCCTCACTAGGCCTGATAGCAGTGGTGTCCATGTCCCTCTAGCTTTTTCACTGTTTACCTCGATTAATATCACAAAATTCTGAGATCTCACCCCATAACTTATTTACTGCAATGTGATGAGTATTCAGTGAGAATATTTTACACTGAAGAATCATAATAATGTTTGGGTTTCCCGTGTTGAAAATTCATTTGCCACAGGCAACCCATTTTAAGCATCTCAGATAAAGAGACAGAAATGTAAGCTGTATCTTTTTGTATACACAACATACCATCATCCAGTAGAAGGAAGTCACAAATATTGCGGATAACACTTATCATCCCACTAATGTCAGATATGTCAGGAAAACCCTTCTTGAATGCTATACTTGTTGCTTTGTCGATGAGATGATTTGATGGGTATGGAGTGTCGTAGATTAGTTTATTAACCTTGGCGCCTACAATTATTGGATCCATAGAGCACATCACATAGGTCACCTCATGATACAAATAACAATAATTAGTTCACTGAACCCTTAACTTGAGGATCTAGACAATGAAAATCAATATAAATATCAAAAACAGTTTCAATCCTCAAGGAAAGTAGTCTTTTATGCAGCTGCTATTTAATAGTGACATCACTAATTAGGGAAGTTAGCATATTACGTGATCTCACTAATAGCGGCTGTGTAGGATACTACTTTTCTTGATCATGAGGGTTTAAATCTTTCTCAATGTTAATATTAATTTTCATACACTGTAGTCCCCTACTCMGCCACTAATTAGAATGTTCACTAATTCTTAGGGCCCAAGTGAGCGCTGCAGGATTACGCTTAGGCTCAAGTCAAATGTCAAAATTCACATGAGCCAAACCTAAATGAAACAATAAATAATGAGGTGGTCTTCTTTGATGTCATAAGGTTGGGCTCATGTGAAGTTTGACATGAGCCTAATAGTGGCTGCATACGAGACGTATACAAGAATAGGGAATTCTTTTGTTTTGACCTCACATTGGGAATAATTAATAATTAGTGTAAGGGGTCTATATTTAATAGATAATTACTGAGGCACGCAGCATTCGTAGGTATAATGCAGGCAGCTGAGGGCATAGCCCTCAGCTGCCTGCATTATACCTACGAATGCTGCGTGCCGAAGTGATTATCTAGTATAATTATTGTTCTTATCAAAATCCAATTATTTYCTTTCTAGCTTGTTTATCATAGAAACAAAGCCAATAATGAATGAACTAAATATGTTTGATTTTCCTCTATGCATTCGTTGGGATAATGCAGACTGAAAACAATGGATTTTGATAAGATCAGTAATTATACATTGAGAGTGGCTAGCTAACTTGTAATAGTTCGTTGGGGATGATTCGAGCATCGTTGATCAATTTATTTGTCCTCAGGTCTTTTACTAAGGATAGCCCCTTTACTAATTTCGATTGATTGCTCGAAATAAATTTGCATCATTCATCCATGGATAATGTCTTCATTTGTAAACATTGTAACATCGTAGCATCGCAACATCGCGTGTGCCAGTGTCCGCGTGAATAGTTGTACATACTTTCTTTTCATTACTTTGTTTTGTGAATTTAATGAGACTAAACCTGAGTCTGGAGAAGCTTGTAGTCGAGCTTCACAGAAAGTATTTAGTGATGAGCTCAACCACAATATCTTTATTAGCACTCTCAACTATAGAAGACAATAAGAAATACAGAATAGATAATTGCAGGAGAAGAGCACAAGCTACTTAGAAATAGAGGTGCTAATTGAACTAAGTAAGTATATCATGGGCGTGAGTCAATACAGTTTCTATGTACATGGTCAACCACAAAATCCTACAAAGATTTTTCGACTTTCATGCATGAGTTCATTACATATGGTAGGTCGTAAAAAGTAAAGAAACAGTATATTATTACCTCGTGACCTCGAGATTCTAAAACGTTGCCGACTTTGTCGATCATAAAGTAGTGACTCACACCATTTGGCCATAGGACAACAGCAACCTTGGCTGCATGACACTGCACGATCGTTAGTAAGAGGAAGGTACAAAAACGAGGAAAGTTTGCCGAAGTAGCCATGATTTATGGGCTCTGCACGAGACTTACATCATAACATGACGTCACTGGCTTACAAATTAATTTACACTTTGAAGTGACGGGCGGGGCTGGGAATCAACGCTCAGTGTTTGTAACGTAACGCACTAAGGCCGGCGTTAGGGTACAAATTATGATCAATTGCTGGTTTTCACATGATGTCATCAAAACATCAAAATCTAAACTATAGATCGTATAAAGACATTTCTCAAGTATGTTTTAGAAGTCAGTGTTATAAGTCACAAGAAAAAATCTCGAGTCATTTCGATGTTTGGTTCCTGAGTTT